TGTGTGTACGTGCAGAAACGCAGAGGAAACGTCACTGCGGACTGATCAGAGGGGTGAGCAGTGTGTGTACGTGCAGAAACGCAGAGGAAACGTCACTGCGGACTGATCAGAGGGGTGAGCAGTGTGTGTACAGCCTACACCAGGAAATGTATACAGCGTGGTTACGGGGCACATACAGCACCAGTTAAAAGTCTGGACACTCCAAGCCGTCTACAAGGGAGAGTGATACAGTGTCGCATCACATGACCTGGCCACCTGACCCATACACAGCAGAAATGGTTTTGGAGGAGTTTGACCAGAGAATGAAGGAAAAGCAGCCAATGAGTGCTCAGCTTATATGGGACCTCCTTCAGGACAACTGGAAATCATCCCAGGAGGCCACCTCATGAGACTGGTGCAGAGGAGACAATATGGTCAGACAGTCCGTGGAGCAATAGGGGTTAAGGGCCTCCTACAGGGACCCAATGGTGGGATCACTCTGTCAACCCAGGGATTTGAACCAGCAACCTTCTGAGACCCAACCAACAGAGCTGCCCCCCACCCCCAACAAATTAATTTTTTGTTTAATACTTTTTTGGTAAGTGCATAATTCCATATATGTTATTTTATAGTTTTGGTGTATTTAAAATGATTGTAAAAAGGTGTGCCCAAGCTTTTGACTGGTACTGTATAACACAGTAAAAAGTAACCTGAGCCAAAGACAGCAGACCTAGAGGTTTGACCTTTACATGGTTTCCATTTCTCCAGTAAAGGGACCCCATGAGGCACAAGGTAGGGGGACCTGGGCAGCATGGCAGTGCACACATGCCTAACTGCATGTCTTTGGGATGAGGGAGTAAACCTGCTGAACACTGGGGAAAACATGGAACCTCCACAGATAGAGCTGGGGAGCGACTGGAAGGCCCAACTCTGGAGATGTGAAGCCAGTGAGGTGGCCACTGTGCCGCCTGATTTGTACTTCACTAAATAATAGCGAGTGTAAGTGTTACATATGTGACGGATCCGCTGTGGCCGGCCGCTCTTACCCATATAGCAGGAGCAGCAAGACCAGTGCAGGCAGATTCGTTTCAGATACATATGCCTGCTGCTGGAAGCAAATAAAGATGATGACCACCATGGCAGCCGGCACTGCATAGTTAATCTACAGCCAAGTCAAAAGGAGAACAGAGCAGTGGTTACTCACCATTACCAAATACAGCAACATGGCAAGCAATACAGCAGGTACAAAAGTTAAACAGCTGAAATGCTCGTTTCCCACAGACAGCTGAAATGCTCGTTTCCCACAGACAGCTGAAATGCTCGTTTCCCACAGACAGCTGAAATGCTCAGAAATACCCATTTATATGAATATGA